TAGAATTTGATTTTTTTTTTGGTACCAGGGATAGAACACAGGTCCTTGCATTTGCAAGGCATCCTGATTTTAATGTGAAGGTTTTCAGTTTTTGGCCATTTAGTATGATGTTGGCTGTTGGTTTTTCATAGATAGCCTTTATTAAGTTGAGATATAGACCATCTATTCCAATTTTTTGCAGGGTTTTTATCATGAACAGTTGTTGAATTTTGTCAAATGCTTTTTCTACATCTATCGAGAGGACCATATGATTTTTGTCCTGGATTTTGTTAATATAGTGTATTACATTTATTGACTTATGTATGTTGAACCATCCTTGCATCCCTGGAATAAATCCGACTTGGTCAGGATGTATGATCTTGATGATCCTCTGTATTCTGTTTGCTAGTATCTTATTAAGGATTTTTGCATCTATATTCATTAAGGAGATTGGCATGTAGTTCTTTTTTTTAGTTGCATCTTTCCCTGGTTTGGGAATCAAAGTGATACTTGCTTCCAGGAATGAATTTGGAAGTATTGCTTCCCTTTCAATTTCACTGAAAAGTTTGGAGAGTAATGTCAGTACTTCTTCTCTAAATGTCTTGTAAAATTCAGCAGTGAATCCATCAGGACCTGGGTTTTTCTTTGTTGGTAAATTTTAAATTGCATTTTCAATTTCACTGATTGTAATTGGGGTGTTCAAAATGTTTTTATCTTCTTTGTTCAACTTTGGTAATTCAAAAGTATCTAGAAATCTGTCCATTTCTTCTGTGTTTTCCATTTTATTAGAGTACAGGTTCTCAAAGTAGGTATTGACTATCCTCTGGATTTCTGTTGGATCTGTCGTAACTTCATCTATTTCATTCCTAATTGCATGGATCTGAAACTTTTCTTTCCTTTTTTTGATAAGGTTAGCTAAGGGTTTATCAATTTTATTTATTGTTTCAAAAAGCCAACTCTTCGATTCATTGGTTTTTTTGTATTGTTTTCTTAGTTTCCATTGCATGGATTTCTGCTCTAATGTTTATAATTTCCTCTCTTGTTCAAGCCTTGGGTTTTTCTTACTCTTGTTTTTCTAGAAGTCTAAGATTCATCATTAGGTTGTTTAATTGAGCTTGCTCTGTTTTCCTAGTGTGGGCGTTCTGTGCTATGAATTTTTCACATAGAACTGCTTTCATTGTGTTCCATAGATTCCTGTATGTTGTATTGGCATTTTTGTTTATTTGTAAAACCTGTCTGATTTCTTCTTTAATTTCCTCTGTGATCTATTGATTGTTCAGGAGAGTGTTGTTCAATTTCCATGTGTTTGTGAAGTTCCTATGGTTTGTTATGCTATTGATCTCCAGCTTAATTGCACTATGATCTGATAATATACAGGGAATAACTTCAATTCTTTTGCATTTTTTCAAACCTCTTCTGTGAGTTATTACGTGGTCTATCTTGGAGAATTACCCATGTGCAACTGAAAAGAATGTATATTCTGATTTTGTGGGGTGAAACACTCTATAGACATCTAATAAGTCCATGTGTTCAAAAGCTTGGTTCAGTTCTAGTATTTCAGTGTTGATTTTTTGCCTAAATGATCTGTCTATTTGTGATAGTGGGGTATTTAGATCCCCCACTACAATTGTATTAGTGCTTATTTAGTTTTACGTGTTGCTTAATATTTGTTTTATATAGTTGGTGCATATATGTTTATGATTGTCATCTCTTCCTCTTGAATTGTTCCCTTTACTAGGATGTAGTGGCCTTCTTTGCCTCTTTTAATCAGTTTTGGTTTGAAATTTACTTTGTCTGCAAAAAGGATTGCTACCCCTGCTTTTGTCTGGGCTCCTGTTGCATGGAGAATTGTTTTCCATCCTTTCACTTTCAGTCTATGGGCTTCTTTTTGCACTAGGTGTGTTCTTGTATACAATATATTGGATTTTGCATCTTAATCCATTCTTCCAGTATATTTCTCTTGATTGGTGAATTGAGGCCACTGATATTGATGGTTATAACTGATATGTACTGACTTATTATTGTCCTTTTGTTAACTCTTTTTAATTATTTTCCATCTCCTTTTAGTTTCTTGCATTGCCTATTTGATTTGCTCTGTTGGGCCTCATGGTGTTTTGATCTTGTCTTTTTCTAAGATCTTGTTTGGAATTCCTTATAGTGCTGCTTTGGTATTCATGAAGTTTCTCAGGTGTTCTTTGTCATGGAAGTATCTTATTTCCCCACCCATTTTGAAATACAGTTTTGCAGGATACATCAGTCTAGGTTGGAGGTTGTTTTCTTTTAGGACTTGAAATACCTCACTCCAGGCTCTCCTTGACCTGAGGGTTTGTGTTGAAAATTCTGCTGTGATTCTGATAGGCTTTCCTTTGCATGTGATTTGTTTATTTTCTCTTACTGCTTGTAGTATTTTGTTCTTCTGTTGGGTTTCTGGGATCTTGATTATTATATGTCTAGGTGTAGATTTTTTTATCTTGTCTAGTTGGGGTCCTATATGCCTCACTGATTTGAATGTCAAATTCTTCTCCTCTGTTTGGGAAGTTTTCTGTCATTAATTTTGTAAACAGCTTTTTAAAGTCATTTACATTTTCTCCTGCTACTTCATGGATTCCTTACAGTCCTATGTTATTCTTCTTGTGTCATCTAGGAGTTGTTGGATCAATTTCTCATGATCCCTTACTGTTTTTAAGATATCTCTCTTTTCCCAATCCCTGACTGCAATCCTATCTTCTGTATCTGAGATTCTATCTTCGCATTCTTTTATTCTGTTGCATACACTCTCAATAGAGTTTTTAATTTCCTGGATATCTGTTTGAATCTGTTTAATGGATTCCATTTCTTTCCTATGTTGGGCATTCATTGTTTCCATTTCTTTCTTGTGCTGGGCCTTCATGGCTTATATCATGGTCTTGAGCTCATCTATTTTTTTTTTTTGTCAAGTTTCTGTTCCACAGTCTCAAATCATGACTTTCATTTTGCTCACCATCTCTACGGTTATCTGGGAAATTATTTGTTTTGAATTTTTCTAGAGCTTGATTTATCTGTTTTGTTACTTCTGGTGCTGTGAGTTCAGGGTGTCCTGGAGGTTCACTATCAGACTTTTCATCCTCCTTTGCCCTACTGTTTGCCATTGGTGAACTAGAAGTCTGTCTTTGTGGCTTGCTTAAGTGTTTTCTCATTTTTATTTTTGCTGTTGGGTTGTCCTTGATTTAATGTCTGGGTTATTAAGTCTTCCTGATATAGTTGCGCTTTAGCTTTTGAGTCTCTAATGACTCATAGACATTCTCACTTTCATAATATCAGAGAAAACAACTCATTAAATCAATCATAATCCTTTATCCCAGTTGATAGAATCAGCAACACAATAGGATCAAGAACACTTGCAAATTGACCACTTGTGGTAGTCATTAATCTATCACCTTTAAACCATGTGAATTAAATTAAAATCAAGAAGCAGCCCAAAATATGTTTGCAGTGAATACACTTTTCAATATAGCATATTTACCATTTAGGATGGGGTCTTAGACAGAGTTAGGATGAGAGGAGTAGATAAGTAAAAGAATTGGAGAAGGTTTCAAGTGAAGCCAGAGGACATAGAATGCTCACACAATCTTTAGGAAACCATTAAATTCAAAAGGGATAGACAGAGTGCCAGTATAAGTACAAGAATATATCCTCTTAACAGCAATAGGGGCTTACTTTCCCTTGAAACTATTGACCTTTGAGTGCAGTAAAATTATATAAAAAAAGAACATAAAGAAAAAAGAAAAAATGATAAAAGAAGAAATCTGAGTTAGGGCAGGAGCAGGAACAGAAAGGGAGATGAGGGATAATATGGTACAGCAAGAGACTGAGTTGGTGAAAGAGGACAGAAAAAAGAAGAATTTGCAGAGTGGAATGAGGAAAAGAAAGAAAAAAATGACTTTGAAGGGCCTCTTTCAGACTATATCTCTGCTGTCATAATATACAATGTGTGCAGCCATGTGCAGAACCAAATCCCCTGATCTGAGCTAGCCGATGGCAGACCTCCATGACGCAGACTGACCTCAGGCTGCAAGGCCCAAATTGAGTTCCTTGACCTTGTTCAGGGTTGAACTCCACACAGTCCTACTACAGGTTTTCCCTGCCCTTTTTAAAAAGATGTTCAAAGTTGGGAGCTCAGAAAATTACCCTTTATAACCAGTTATGCCTCTGCAGAGTGGGTCCAAGGACTGGCACAATCAGGAGGTCTGAGAGTAGGGGGTGGGGGTACAGGTGCTACCTTCCTGGTGCTGGGCCAGCAATGGCAGCACCAGCAGGGGAGGGTACAGCTACCTGGTCTCACAGACTGGGCCCAGGCAGGCCGGATGGAGATCAGATGTTGGAGTGGCTTTCCCAAATCTCACCTTCCTGGCACTGGGGCAGCAATCCCCAGTACCATTTATTAAGGAGGCTGTCTTTCAGTGAAGATGTTTAGCTCCTTTGTCAAAGATAAGGTAGCTGAGTATATTTAGAGATGTTTCTGGATCTTCTATTCTATTCCATTGATCTTCTGGTCTCTTTTATTGCCAGTGCCATGCTATTTTTGTCACAGTAGCTTTGTAATGTAATTTCAAGCCAGGGATTAGGGTTTACCTGGTATGCCCTTGTTATCTAGGAATTCTTTTGCTGTTTTAGGTTTCTTCTGGTTCCAAGTGAATTTTAGGATTGTTTTCTGTAAATTTATGAGACATATTATTGCTATTTTGATCTGGATCACATTAAATCTGTATAACAGTTTTGGAAGTATAGACTTTTTCACTATATTAGTTCTGGCTATCCAAGAACAAGGGATATCTTTCCATTGTATGATATCCTCTTTAATCTCTTTTTTCAGAGTACCTTTATTTCCTTTGTTAGATTGATTCCTAAATTATTATTATTTGAGACAGGGTCTCACTAGGTAGTTGAGACTGACCTGGAACTCACTATGTAGCCCAGGCTAGTCTCAAACTCACAGCAATCCTCCTGCCTCAGCCTCCCAAGTGCTGGGATTACAGGCTTGTGCCACCATGCCTGGAGATTTTTTTTCTTAATGCTATGTGAAAGTTGATATTTCTCTAATTTCTCTCTCACTGTTTGTTACTAGTGTACAGGAATGCTACTGATTTTTGAGTGTTCACTTTGTATCCTGCTACACTACTGAATTTGGTTGTTAAATCTGGGAGTCTTTTGGTGGATTTTTGGGAATTTTGTATGAAGAATATCCTACTGTTTGCAAATAATGATAATTTAACTTCTTCCCTTATTGTCCTTACTCCTTTTATTTCTTTCTCTAGGTTCTTTGACTAATGTTTCCAGAACTACATTGAATAGGAATGATGATAGTGGGCATCCTTGTCTTGATTCTGCTTTTAGAGTGAAAGCTTTCAGTTTTTGATTATTTAATATAATTTTATCTGTCTCTTTGCCATAGATGGCTTTTATCAGATTGATATAAAAACTATCAGTTACACTTTTTTGTAGGGTTTTATTGTGAATAGTTTTGGATTTTTGTCAAATGTTTTCTCTGCATCTATTGAGAAAATTATGTAGTTTTTGTCCTTGGTTCTTTAATATGATATATTATATTTATTGACTTGTGTATGGTTGACCATCCCTGCATTCTTCAGATGAATCATAGTTGGTCATGGTGTATTATATTCTTGATGACTCACTTTATTTGCCAGTATCTTATTGAGGATATTTCAATTTTGTTCACTAGGACAATTTTCCTGTTCTTCCCATTTTTGTTTGGTTCCTTCTCTGGCTTTGGTATCAGGATAATGCTTGCTTCTAGGAATGAGTGCACATGGAATCATGCCAACCCGGGCCATGAGGAAGAATCTTATTCAAAGCAATGGACTACAGAGAAGAGGAGGAAGACTGGAGGGAGGAACTCCTGTGATCTCACTCCTGATAAGAGCAACTCACCCAGTGAGAAAGACGAGAAAAGTGAGAAAAGGATTTCCTTTTCTTAAACTGTCCATTCTCCAGGAAATTCTCTGGGTTGAATGTGTCTGGAAACTAACATGCTGCTCTTTGTTCTTTAAAAACACAACATGGAAACAAACTTTGCTTTTCTCACCTGTGTCATTTCCTTGAGGTAAGTGTCAATAAAAATCTCTTGGCTCATCAGGATTCCAGTCTCTCCCATGATTTTTAATCACATGACAGACAAATGATTTCAGTTCATCCCAGCCTCTGAAGAGAGTATGATGAGGTACAGGGAGGAATTCCATTATCTGTGGAAAGAAAGTATACATCTAATGGAGAGAAACAAAGTGATCAAGGAGAAAATACAGTGCTGCTTTTGCACTTTTCATGACATCTCCTTCTCTTCCATCTCTTTTATTTGCTCACACTTACACTGTGGTGTCACTTGTACTCCTCTCATGTCTCTCATCTGTTACAGGAATTTCAACTCTCCATCTTACATACACTGATCTTCAGACTGCTCCTCACTGCCCTGCACCTGCTTGCCACACTATTGCAAAGCACCACCTTCCCCTTCCTGGATGCTGATATTGTTTTAGTGGCTTCCAGATTCCTCTCTTAAACAGTTCCCAGCCTGCTGCTCTATGCAGCTGCCAGAGAGATCCTTAAATACTTTGACCACATAGTTTTATTCCTTGGCTCTCCACTGTCCAATTGCTGTTCATTATACTTAAAATGAAGGTTATTCCTTTTGCCTAGTAGCCCTACATAGGTGGTCCCTACAGATTGGCCAGGTGCTTTCTATCTCTCCCTGCCACCTTTGACTGCACACTTCTGTCACAGAGGTCTTTGGGGTACCTTCAAAGATGTTCTTCATTAAGGCCTTTTGCAGTTGCTGTTCCCTCTGAATAGAAATCTTTACCCCTGAAACCTCTATAACACCAGCTTCTCAGTGCATATTGTTGCTCTGAAATGTCACCTCTCTGAAACTTATACATGAGGATCCATTAAATGCCTTTCAGCCTTCATTCCCTCATCTTGATTTATTTTCCTTTTGGAAATATCACTGTGTGTTTGTGCACACGTGTGCATGTGTGCACATGTGCATGCACACATGTATGTCTGGGTGTGTTTGCATGTGCATGTACTCCAGAGCAATTGATTGTATATGGTGGTCTCAACTAGTATGATTCCATGTCCATTTGGGTCAGATTTGGTATTACATGCTGGAATAAACTGCTGGTGAATGGAACATAAAAGGAGAAGCATACAGAAGAACATAGGCAAATATGTGAACTCTGAATGAGACAGACATGGATGTGACTACTTTCTACTTATAATAGATTGGTAATAGGTATAATAATAACAATGGTTTGGTTTTTTGGTTTTTTGTTTTGTTTTGTTTTTTGGTACTGGGCATTGAACTCAGGACCTTGCGCTTGCAAGGCAGCCAGTGGAACCACTGTGCTAAATCCCCAGCACAATACTAATGTATCTTTGATCCTTTATTTAACTAGATTCAAGTTAGGGGGAGCATTACTGGGTAAAGTGCTATGGCGACTCTGGAGACTGCGTGACAGAAGGTACACATGGTACCCAACACAGGAGTAGTGGACTATTCTCTTATTTGCTTACACATTCAGATATAAACTTTACACTCATGTTTCTCTGTTTCATTTTTATGAAACCGTTGTGAAAATTGGCAGAGATAAAGTGTGTGCCATTACCTATGAAAATGTCTAGTATACATGGGGACACTAAGAAAATGTTTATTAGATTTAGCATACGGCCACTTTCATTTCCCTACCAGGTACTTGCTAAGCTGTCCTGGTGTTCTAGGTCTCTTAATAGGAGAGAAGCACATGGAACTGTAGCACTGGGCTCTTCCATAGCTCACAATGACAACAAGGAACACAAAGCAACTTTGACTGTAACTAAAATGGTTCCATTTATTGTGCCCTTTCTGTTTGCCAGGAGTCATCCTAATCCAGCAGTCAGCTTTCTGTGATAGAATCATGAAGCTCCAGCAAAAGACACTTGTCAGGAGCAAGTACCAGGAGTTTTGAAATTTTTACCTTTCTTTGTGCCTATGCATCTATGTACGACAAGTGAGGTGCGTCCATGTGGACAGTTGCACGGGAATGATCATGGCAGCTTCATTCATAACATTCAGTGCCTGGAAACAGCTCACATGCCCAGCAGTAAAATGTTGATTAACCACGGTGGCACATTCTTACAATGGAATTTTAGTTTGTGTAAAAAATACAGATGAATCTCAAAAAAAAAACCAATCCTACTGAATATGAAACTGTACCTAGAAAAATGCATCTGAGGAGGAAAAGAGAGAACTATGTAGGGCAGAACATGGAGAGAGAAGACACTCAAAGGCAAGGGCAATATTGTTGTTCAACTAAGAAGACCAACACAGATGCACGTCATGTAAAATTCTGTAGTTTGTGTGAATGATAGAACTATTTTGTATATAGTAAACATTGACATCTGTAATCCAAGGCTGAGGAAGGAGGATCAACGCAAGGTCAAGATCAGATGGGTCTACCTATCAAGAGGTTGTCTTAAAAATTAGAAAGAAGGAAAGAAAGAAAGAAAGAAAGAAAGAAAGAAAGAAAGAAAGAAAGAAAGAAAGAAAGAGAAGAAAGAAAGAAAGACAAAACTAGAGAATTAGAGTTGGGCTGGAAAATGCAGCTCACTGGTAAATTTTTTACCTACCATGCCTGAGACCATGGGTTCCACAACCAGTGCCAAAAGAAAAAGACAAAGAAAAACTAAACACAACAGATTAGTATTTTAAGTAGTTTTTGTTAAATTCAATGTTAAATCGTAATGGTCTTTGCTTAAGCAGAAAGAAAATCTAAAGGAAGACATTACTTGGGTCTGACATCAGCCCAATACTCCTGAGCAAGATGCAAGAAGACAAGTGCTTACTTGGCACATAGGAGATGCTTCCAAATGGGTAACCTCATCCAGTAACCTCAGCAGCTCCTGAAACTCAGCATCCTGGTAATCAAAGCGCTCCCCAAAGATGATGGAGCAAATTATATTGGAAATGGCATTGTTGATCTTGAAGTAAGGGTTGAAAGTCTGTCCTGGAGGAAGGAAGAGATGAGTTCTTCAAACAACCACCAGTTTGTCTCTATTTTTACAGAAAGCCTGCTCTATATATCTGGTAGAGCAATATATTTGAAGCTCTAGACACAGCATGGAAGATATGGTAAGGACTCATTGAATATTATGGTAAGTAAATTTATGATAAGAGTTTAAATGTAGTAATTTGTGTATGTGTCCTGCTTGAGAATAGCACGATGGGAAGGTGTTCACTATTCTATATCAGGGCCTAGCATGATGCTGGGCATAGGGTTTGCATTTAGGCTCTTAAAAAGTATCTGATCAATGACTGGATAGGTCCCAACTTCCCATACTGAAACTATGAAATGCTCACCTTTCTCCTTTGCTATGACCTCAGCAAGGTGGTGGGCTTCTTCCTGGATGCGTTCCTCAATGGTCTTCTTTCCTAAACTGAAGTTCCTTAGCATGGTCAGGGTGAACCTTCTTTGTTCCTTCCATATTTGGCCACTGGATGCCATTAATCCTGGAAAAATGGAAGTTAACAGGATGCTATCTGATACCATTATGCAAATACCTGGCAACTGTATGGACATGGGCAGCAGATAAAAAGCAGGAGGGGCATGAATATACTGGTATTTATTTGGAGACATGTTTATTTAGAGGAATAAATGTTATTCTGATGCTTACTGGATAGCATTTACTAACTCCTCACAGTTTAGTATTTTTATATAATTTTTCATTTGTTGCTCACAGAAGCAAAACAGGGTAGTTTTAAACAACATCATTTCCTGTCCATTTTCCTGAAAAGAAAGCTAAGGATTTGGGGATAAAGAATGAAGTAAACCTTACAAGGCAATACAGTTCATGAGCAGATGTTCAAATTCTAGTCTTCCTGTATCCAAGCCCCATACTTTGATTAGAAGTTCCATAAGTTTAGTGAAGTATTAGTGTTATACTAAATATCAGTGATGCAGACATGGATAAGCCAAAGCTCACAGACATAAGAAGGCACAAAAAGGCTTTACAGGGAATGTCCTAACTAAGATTGGCCTTAAAAGATAAGGAATGGTTCATAAAAACAAGGAAGAATGAATATTCTTCACAGAAAGCACACGACTGACAAAGATGCTGAATGCCATGCTGTGTTCAATTAACCATTATGTATCTCATAACAAAGGCAATGCCAAGCTGTTTTCCATGTCTTTCTTTCTAGACTGTTCTTCAACTTTTTAATGCTCCTGAGTCTGCCCTTCACTGTCACATTTAAATGATCCTCTTTGCTGTGAATCCAGTGAATCTCCAACCTCAACTATCTCCACACTTCTTTGAATGACTCCTTTCCAGTAGTTGTCAAGAGAGCACACACAGATTTTTCCCTAAATCTCTGTGAGGTACTTATTATTATGTGATTCATTTTTTTCTATGAAATTTTGCAACAGTGTAGGTCTTCATGATTAGGCTTCCCAGCCTCCTCTCTTTTCATCCCACATTCCATTTTTGGAAATCCTATCAGTTCCTCTAATTTAAATAATAACTACTGCTAGTCACCATCTCTTTCTGTCCCAGAACTCTGTACACATTACTACTGACTGCTTGATTTTGCCTATTTAAAGCACTGCAAACCTAGCACAACCATGCTGAAATCTTGACTTTTTCCATACTACTCCCAACAAAAGTTAATCCTACCGAAATACTTTCCTGCCTCTAAGTGTTCCTCTTTCCATCAGGTACCTGTGTGGGAAGCACTTCAACAACTCACTGTCTCCACATCAAGGTCATCGTGTCTTACTAGATTTCCCTGGTGATCACCTGGAATCCATGTGATGTCACATTGCTATCCTTTCCTAACACACGGTCCTTTCTTCCCTCCTGTCTGGTGTAAGCTGTCACTTTCTGTGAGCTAAAAGCTACAAAAGTCTCCTGCTATCTGAACTGCATTCTTGTCATGCCATCCTAGTGAGTCTTACTAATGTATTGTTTTAAATTTTTTGCTCCACTTCAAATCATTCAAGGGCTTACACTGTCCTTAGGATAAAAACCAATGTCCTTAACAAAAACTTGCATGAGCTATTCCTAGCCAGGTAGTTTTAGCTCCATGTAATTATCTCCTTTACAATCCTGAGCTCCTATCATTTTATTTCCTCAACTATTTTGTCCTTACTCTAATATCAGGGAATTTTCATATTGTAGTCTCCTTCAGTGCATGGTGTTTTTCACTTTATTGAGTAAACTGTCTTTAGTCATATCAACTTTCTCTAAATTCCAGGATTACCTTAGATTCACCTAACAAGTTTCTCACAGAATTTTTTTTTTGTAGTATTACATAGGACATGTATATGAACTATTCTCATTCTGAGAGGCAAAAGGTTACTGACTTTTTTGTTTGTTTGTTTTTTGTTTTTTGTTTTTTCCGAGAATTGAGCTCAGGTCCTTGTGCTTGCGAGGCAGGTGGTAGTACCAATGAGTTAAATCCCAACCCCAGAAAGGTCACTCAGAAAAGACATTGAACCAGGATAACACAGGAAGAAAGAGGGCAGAGATTTAAGTCAGTCTAAGTTCTAAAACTTAAGAACCAGCTAAACAAAGAAGCAAAGAGAGAAAAAAAGAGTGTACCTATTCACATGTGCACTGCCACTCTCTGAGGGATTGTTGCCCTGAATTTTCCAGAGAATTTTGTGTCCATTTGGGTGTGTGTGTGTGTGTGTGTGTGTGTGTGTGTGAGAGAGAGAGAGAGAGAGATCCTAGTGCACACACTATTTCTGCATATCTCTAAGGTTTAACATCTTCAATTTCTATGATTTATTTTAGAAATAATATGTTTCAAACCTATTTGTATGAGGTGTTCATTTTTTTCTTTTGGCTCAGAATTTTTAATAAAAACTTAAAACTATAATTTAATGTTTGTTTGTTTTTTTCCCCAGGACCATAACAAGCCTTTATTATGGGGAGGGTCTGCCAGGCTGTCTCTGAACAAAGAAGAGACAGCAATATGGCTGAGTCAGGGAGAGCTTCTTATAGGACTGGGGTGGGGCTTGTAGGATCTGGGGTAGGCTTGAGCGAGGTGGTGGCTGGGGATTGGGGGAGCTCGTGACATCACTAGGAGAGACTTGTGTCATCACCAGTTAGGGCCATCTTAACGCGAGGAAAATCTAAAATTCCAGGCTTTTGTTTTATGGTTGTCTGGTGAAGGTCTCTACTTCTGGAGTTGCTTTAAGCTGACAAAGGGGTGAAGATGGGCTAAACCTGGACGTGGTTTACTGTTGATCCTAGGCAGATATGGAAAGATATACACCGAAGCCGTACTGAAGTAATGCTGAGTGTGTGTGGTTGTGCAAAAGAAGAGGAAATATTCTATATCTCTTGCTAATTTGTAAATTGTATTTTCAAATGTTGCCTAAATGTGTATATGTTACTTTTATAGTTAAAATAATTTTTCTATGCTTAACATAATTTTGTATAGTAAAAATCATTTCTATATAAGGACAAAAAGAAAGTAAAATTTTAAAAAGTTGTGTGTTTCTTAACTATTTCAGTCACGAAATCTTTTGCCAATTGAGTCTGTGTCATGGACCACAGAACCACAAACACATGAATACAGCTGTGCACGTCTCTGCACATCTCCTGTGGCCCACACTCCTGCTAAGCACAGTGATCTCAACTGAACTCCGTGTACAGAGGCTTCCCATGAGAAACACTGCACGCAGAGCCGAAGACAGCATATGCCAGATGCTGGTGTGGGGACACGAGGCTATCACAAGACAGGGATTTCCACTGAAACATAAGACAACACTTTAAGGGAGAGGGGACTTTGCCCAGACCCGACAAGAAGTCAGGATGCCAGCAAAAGACTTGTCCAGTGAAGGCCAAGGCACTGCAGACTGTGAGAGGAGCGCGTGCAGGTGCGAAGGCAGGAAACGGAGGGTGTTTGGGAACAAGTCACTGTCTCACTGGGGCAAAGTGTTCATTAAAGAGCCCTGCCCACGTCTTAGGTCCAAGCCAGTGCTGGGGGTGCAACAAATGCCTACATTCAGGAGCTCACAATCTAATGGGACAGTACTGTAAATCAATAATTATTATTAACTTTCTGTCTTATACAGGGAAAATAGAAAGCATAGAACAGGACCAGGGTTCAGTGTTGATGTCTGGAAAAAGTCTCCTCTCAATTAGAAAGAGAGACAGGAAGCAAGATTCTCAGAGCAGTATCAAGACTGAAGACCCCATCATCACTTTGTTTGTTTTCTAATAAAACCTGAAGATGTGTGAGTAGGAGAGGAGGTGTAATGTAAGCAAACTGCCTGGACTTTGGAGTCACAGGACATGTTAGAATTAGGTTCTGCCTCTTACTTTCTGTATGATCTGGCTTCAAATTATTTAACTTTCTAGACTGTAGCTTACAGTCAATAGATTAGAAGTTACTATTCCTTTCTCTATTTCAGAAAAGATTAGTAAACATAATATTAATATAAATATAATATTAATAAACCTGTGATTATGGATATTTCAGAGGATGCATTTTACAAAGAAGGTTCTGGTAGTGACAGCAGCTCGGGAATGGAGAGGAAGAGAAGAGCATGATAGAACTCACACAGACACGAGTCCAGTAACTGATGTCTGGCATTCAGCCAACAACTGGATTTTCTGCACACAGTGCAATAAGGTTTTGAAGAAAGGAGCAGTGTGAAAACCATACAAGAAAGTCACCTGTGTGCTCAGCATCCTGGCTGTAACTTCATATGCAATAACTTATTTTGCTTCTATAATAAGCCTGAACAGCAGTGATGGCGAACCATTTAGACACCTAGTGACCAAGCTCAACCCACAACCCACTTGTTTATCCCAAAGTGCCAACACTGCAATTAAATCTGCATGTTCAGCTGCTGGGGCGATGGTGGCCTTGGCTTGCCCGCTGCTAGAGACGGATCTGCGTGCTCACTGGGACACCTGTGCCATAGGTTGACTGCCGCTGCTATACATAATTTCTTTCTGGGTTCTAGAAAAGAAAGCAGAGAGGTAGCACGCAGCTAGTGGTGGAATTTTTGGTTCTTTCATACCCTGTGTTCTTAGAGTGATGGAACTGCCTATATATGAGCTGGGGATATGACTTCCTCACCAAAAATCCTGTTTCCCAGTCTCTCTAGATGTGGGCAAAAGCACCTGAGAAGTGTTGTGTGTGCATCTTGGGATTCACAGCTTTATGAAAGCTGCTTTCTCAACACCACCTGAGACAGGACACAGGGTGGGGCTTAGGCTGCCTGGGGAGAGAGGCTTGGGGGATCCCAGGATAATTCAGCACTGCCTCTCTAGACCCCATGATGAGAGCTTCTCTTGGGTTCCCAGGAGATGTGGACAGCATAAAAGAGATGGGAAACCACAAGAAGCCCAGGATCATGACTCTTCACAGTTGCCCATTCTGCATGCACTTTTATTTTTGCTTTTCTCTTTTGTCTATTGTCCAGCCCAAATTTGCCCTGCAGAGCTAGTTTCTCCCCCAGCCCCATTTCACATAAGTGTTGCCCCCATTTTGGCTCTCCCTGTTCAGTTCTCTGTGAAGCAGAGGACCTGGAGCACCTTTACTTGGTGAGCCGTTTCTAAAGAGAGCTTCCCCGTCACACAGCCATTTCCATTTCCCCTTCCCGTGGGACCCGACCCCCACCTGACGATGCTGGTGTGAGACAGAAGCAGTAACTCAGGAGGAGCTGGAGTCTGCAGGGGGTGTGGACAGAGCCTCCCTATCCTGCGCTGCACGCTGTGTCCGAGCACTCTGTCGGTGAGAATCATCTTTCACTGCTCTTCACATCCTTGTATATTGGGGTCTGGGTTACAATCACCTCCATGAGGAAGCTACTCCTTAATTTGTACAACTTCTGTACCATGCGCGTCCTTTATACTCTGATGAGATTTTCCTTTTGTTTCAATACGTGTTCCTATCACCAGCCACGTGGCTATGGTAGGAAATGTTTAGGAAGTGGGCGTGGGAGAGCAGTGAGGCTGGCCACCTGCCACGCAGACTGGCTGGTTTCCTCCCCTTACTCTCACCTTGCTGGAGCTCATGAAGTCTCATCCATGTAAAATTTCCTATTTTTGGGGCCGGGGATTTAGCTCAGCGGTTCGGTGGCCTGGCTTGCAAGCGCAATGGACCCGAGTTCAATTCCCGGTACCAAAAAAAAAAAAAAAAAAAAAAAAAAATCCTATTTTTTTCTCATTTAGACATTGCCAAACATTCCTTTAAAATCCAAGCCATTTTTTTTCAATGTTGTAGAAAAGATCTCCCTCCAGGTTGCCCACAGACAGTGATACCATCTCTTGACACCCACCTGGTTTGAGTTTCCATCACCCATCTTGTCATGCGCTGTCCACTACTGGATCTGGCACTGACAGTAGTTAAACTGTCTTTGAAGAGACACGTCTATGAATAACTGTGCCACCCAAAATTATTATCTAGTTACGTCTAGGGATGTAGGTTGCATATTCAGAAAGGTTTTAGAAGTAAAATAATGCTGAGTTCAAGGTTCCATTTTCCATCATCTATTGAACAATCTGAACAAATCACATGACTCTTGTTGGCAAGTTTCCTCAGAGGCACAATGGACACGCCACCAGCTGAAACCTAGCATAGACGCTTTCCATGGAGACCGAATGGAAATGAGCCCAAAATTCTGATCCAAGACTTCACACGGTGTTGGTGTTACTGTCTTGCCAAGAATGACAATGTAATCGTAACCTAATTATAACATTTATCTCAGGTTGTTTTACATACAGGAACATAAAAACCAGGCTTATATAAAATAAAAGTAGACTGTTTCATCAAAAATCTATCATTGAGTCAGGGATACGATTGAAGACTCCGTTTCATCACCCCTGTCTCGTGGCAGTAGGCACCCTCTCCAGCCACATCTGTCCTGCTAGCAAAACAGGGACACAGATGAACTGATCTCCAGTGGCTCCTGAAGGAATCAGAACCAGTGCATGGGAGGCACTGAGAGGAAGGGAGCTGAAGGATGGCTTTGTGAATGTGCTGCAGAGAGGGGACTGAGCCCAGGACTCAGGAAGTGTGGGAGGGGGTCCCCTGGAGCAGGGGAGTATTTAGGAGGCCCTATCTGTGTTTTGCATGCCTGGAATAGAGCCTCTGAGGACAGTTCCACAGTTTTTAAAGGATAACAATACAAAAAAGAACAAATAAGCGGTTTCTCTTTCAATTTTTAAGAAACAAAGACACATAAAATGCCCTAAGAGGACATAACTCAGCGACACAGAAAACAGTTACCTGTATTGAAGCAGGTGAAAGGAGAAATGGGTGAGGCAGGGAAGTCAGAAGGAAGAAGTGGAAGGCAGGGTTCCCTCAGTTTCCCAGCTGCAGCCTGGGGGCCATACCAGTGTCCCCTGTCCTGGAGGCCAGGGTGGGGGTGAGGCGGCGGCCAACCTCCCTCCTTGCTCCTACCCGGTGAAGCGCCAGATCAGTCTTTTCGAAGTCCAGTTGGAAGAAGTTTCCCAGGAAAGGCAGGCGCCAGGGCCCAGGAGGGAAATTTTGGGGGCGCCTCCTTTTGAAGAAATCTGCAAAGAACAGGAAGACAGCAGCTCCAGGAGAAGAGTTCTGAGGTGGAGCACGCCCCAGATGGCGGCCGCCAGGGAGCCCACCGCCGCCAACATATGGAGGACCTGTGCTGGCCCTTGTGAGGACAGAATAGAGGACTGTACTGGCCTGTCACCACGGTGGTGTTCCAGACTGAGCTGTCCCTTTGCCTAACTTCTGCTCAGTTGTTTCTGGCCCTGCCTCAGGAACAGCCTCCCTCCTCTCCCGCCCCGCCCCCCTCAGGCTCTTTTGCACCCTCAGCCTCTGCCCTGCAGCTCCTCCCTCCCTGGCCTTCCTGTTCCGTCTGTGAGCCAGGCCTCTGCTGCACCCTGGACAGGGGTTAGAGACTCTGCAGCCCTGGGGCTCCCCACACCCTTCCTGGAACAGGCTGGGTAGCAGTGCTTTCACCTTTATCCTAAAAGCCATTTTCTGGCACACACCCGAGGCTCAGGATGCTGGGCTCCTCATTTCCAGGCCCCCTCAGCCTGAGAGTGCCACAGTCAGTGGAGCCTGGTTTCCCATCACTGTCCCCAGGCCCGCGGGCTCTCTGGCAGCAGCAGCAGCTCTGGACCTGTCTTAGGAACTTACCATCAGGCGGGCAGCACGCTATGCCCTCACATGAAAGGCTGCATCTCACAGAGCTGTGCAAGGGACGATCGTTTCAGTTCTGACTTGCAGCCAGAAAGCGCACTGTGCAGGAATAAGGGAATCCCTGAGTGTGAAAGGTTCCCAGAGGAAGCCTTCTCTCTGACAGCGCTCTGCAGAGGAGAAAGAATGGCACCAAAACTCCCAGCACTGAGCAGGGTCCATGGTAGGAGGTTAGGTAACATTTATGGCAGAAATGTCTTCATCCTGGGCTTTATTCATTTCTTTATTTTTGCCTGACTGTGAAGTTCCTGTGTGTCCAGGCTCCAAAGTCCATGCCAGGCTGAGGTGCCTCCCTGTTTCTTCTCATTTGAGAGTCCTCCACAGAAGCGGCTCAGTTCTGGGAGACCTCGGCACACACATGGGCAGTAAATGTAGACGTCCAAAGTCTACTTCAAAAGTTTTAATGAAAATAATGGAGAATTCGAGTTTGATTTTTTCCAAGGTAGGTGTCGGGGAGTAGTCACGATTCAGCCGGTGTCCTTTCAGTCCATGTCTTCCTGTTTTAATACAGCTGTTATGCAATCGTACACTATTTCTAATACATAGGTAGGAATTTTTACACCTGCTTTTAAGATTTTCTTGCTCCTTATTTCACATTATTATCCTGATTTATGCAAGTGGCAGTATTTTGTTCAATTTGACAGTTAGGTAAATCTCCCATTTCTATATGACAATTTATTTGTTTGCTCCTATATCAACAAGCATTTAGCTTTCTTATCTCCCTTCTCTTTTTAACTTCTTCACTTTCAGATAATGCTGCAGATGATTAAATTTATAATGGCACAATTAGAGGCTCTTCTTTTTGATATTTTGGGGAAACAATGACATTTTCATTTTTGTTTTTTGTTTTTTAGGTACCAGGGATTGAATTCAGGCTGTCACCCTTGCGAGGCAGGCCGTGGATCCACTGAGCCAAATCCCCAGCCCATAAAATGGCATTGTCTAAAACATTATTTACCAAACACAAAATTCTTTTAAAATTGTTCTATGGCATAAAGAAAATGAAGAAATTTGATTCAAGACAACCTAGTAAATCTTGGTAAAAGAGCTGCTGTCTAAGCTGTATCTTGTTCCTTTCCAACCCCTGCTGTTAAGGTCCCTTATTGCTTTTCTGTCTTCTGTTGCCAGGAGCTGTTGCCTCTCTGCCACAGGTCACCCTGCCTTGCAGCCAGCCAATTAAGGACTTAAACGTCTACAAACTGAGCTAAATACACCTTTGCCTCCATTCAGTTTGGAACTTGAGTATTTTGATTCAGCAAGGAGAAAAGTAACTAACACCCACCCCGTCTTCTCTCCAAGGGCCAGCAGTCTCTTGTGCCTGTGGGTCCCTCATCCACCCTGGGGACCTGGTAGTGTGAAGCCACCAAGGAGCTGCTCTGAGACCCAGGTTGAGACACTCAGCTCTTCCCTACAGTGGTGTCCTTGTCGGCCCTTACTCACCATTGTGGCTGTGGGTGCTTGTACTGAGGTCACTAACCAAGTGCTGGTGGATTGCATACAGCCACTCTGGAAGTGTTGCCCCATGTTTTACTTGTGATCCAACTGCTGGCATTTCCTTCAGTTCCAGTGCAGTTCTCTGCTCCCACATGGCCAAAATTTGTGAGTTTTACTTCGCCTCCCACCTCGCAGCTAGCTAATCACTATCATTGTCACTGCACAGTCTCTCCTCAGCAGTGTGATCTATTTTTCTGTATCATTTAATCCAGTTTCTTCTCCTCTATCCACTCTTTATTGGTTCCCTCTTAAGCTCCACACACTCTGATTCCTGTCCAAGCTATTGTTTTCCAAACCTAGACACTTTGTAGTGGAAAAGCTGAGTTCCTGGCACTCACTGCTCTGCCATTTTGGGACCAAGAATATGATCTGAAAAGAAAACAGTCTCCACATTTGTTCTATACACCTACTTCCCAGGCTTGGTCAGCTGTGCTCTTAACCTACGTGGCCCAGGGTCGTAGGTCAAGGCAGTGTTTCCTTATATACATCATACGAACTGTCTACAGCAGGTGCTTTCACTGCCTGTAAAAAGGGAAGCATACCTTCCCTGATGCCCTCCCAGAAGTGCATTCTGAGGCAGAAACAAGATCAAGCACTGAGCAGCATTCCCACAGGGGAGAGCATTTTGCCATGCTCTGTGTCTGTACCCCGGGTTGAACTTTTTACTCTTGTTGGCTGTTTTGTAAAACTTGAACCTGAGAAATTAACACACCTCACATGTAATACATAGCTGCAAAAGAAGGCAAGAAGGAAGCACAGTGTAACTACAATTTTATCATGTGCTTTCTTATTTACAAATCACTTGAAGTCCATTACTCCTTTATTTCCTTTGATTCTTACAGAGACCTGTATTTAGAGACAGAATCCTTATTCCTTCCCATCTTAAGGATGAAAAGGTAAATTATTTCATCCACACATGACTGCCCTATATCAATTCTGAAGCAAATAGAAGATCTCAAATTTTGATCAAATTTCCTCTCAGCCCAATTCCTCGCATCTTCCCTCCCTGACCTCCATTCTGTCCCCTCACATCTGTGTGGGCACCAGAGGATTCAGGGAGCTGCCATTTCTTCTTTCTTGCCTTTCACTTCCTTCTCCAGCATCATGCCCTGGGGACAGCACAGATGTTGTAGCTCTCTGGGGAAAGTGTCATGCCCACCCTAATCTTCAGGCTCAGCTTTTCCTTTTTGGGGGGTTTGAAGATAAATTTTAGCAGAAGGGAAGTGAAGAAAATAAACAGCTCAGACCTAGCCAGCTGTTCTCCAAGGCATCCACGTTTTCCTGTGGGTCCAAAACAAATAATTTATTTTTTCAGGTAGCACTATTGGCTCTAGAAATTGGCATTCTCAACTCCCTTCAGCAAAACCTGACTTTGAGCTTTATTTCTAGCTTTTTCTGTTTGTCTGAGAACCACTTAAATTCACCAAAGGATGGAAAGTGGAAATCCAGGATCACAAGATCAAATGCATTTACAGGTTAGTTGTGGGTCAAGAAGCACAGTGCAGAGTAATAGAAGTAGGAGGCTTGGGGTGACTCAGAGAGTGGTATCTTGTCTGAAACCTTTCAAAAACTCATTTAATAAACAAGCATGAGAGCTGTCAATGAAATAACAACAAAACGATATAGTTTGTCTCAATCCTTAAAAGCAAGCAGGAAAGTACCGCACCGGGCTCCTAACATCTAAGCCACTCCCTTATGCCTGTTACCCTCCTGTATTGTGGGGACCCCCTGATAAGCACGGCCCTATAGATGGAGCTGCCCGTTCCTTCCTCTTTGAGTTGTCTGTCTTGGCCAGGGCCTTTGCTTCCAACACGAGGGCGGAGCAGGGTCCTCCCCTCCATAGCTCATACGGGTCACCACCCTGGCTACATCCCAGAACCCGGAACATGGAAAACTGGGGGAAAAGGGGAGAAAAAGTCTGTGCTTAGGCTACTGGAGGCCACCTTGGGGGGACAGTGATGGAAAGACAGCTGGAATGACAAGTAAATCTTGGGTATGATGTAATTAACCTTTGTAGCACCAAATACTTCAAAGTACTTTTCACTGGACTCTGATAAAACCACTGAAGCAGAGAAACTTGCACGAAATGAGTTACTTACTGTAACCAAGGAAAATTCCAAGTAAGTCCTCTTGCCTCATTTGCCCTTAGACTTAAATCTCTGATTTGGGAGGTCCCACAATACATTAGCACATTCTCACCAGCTTGCTGTAGAGGATACGTCTGCTGCGTGGGTTATAATAGTGGCCTAGGTTATTTCCCCGGGACCTGAAGGTCACTCTTCCTGAAGACACTTTCCCTTCACTTTGCTCACAGATGTCTCATGGGTGACTGAAATGGGATACAAGGATCTCTGTGTTCACATTGCCTCTGTCCCCTTAGCTGTCTCAACCCTTGAATCAAATGCTACTTACTTCTACATATAGAGTTGTTGATCATTAAAAGTGCTTAGTCCACGGGGAGAGAGTTGAGAAGAGGAGGTGATGAGGGCAATGATTAAAGTACATCACATGCAGGTACAAATCTGATGAAATGAAACTCATTAATCTATGTAACAATATGTGCTCAACAAAAATGGGACAGAGTTTAGTCCAAGGTTAGTGTTCATTGTCCTATTGCATGTGAGAGCTGGCATGCATTTTCCTTTGCTTTGTATTTGTCGTCTTATCTGCCCCTACTTTGTCCTTTTTCAGCAACCTGTGTAGAAGTCCCTAATGTCCTTCAGACCCATTCTAGGGTCCAGACTCACAAACCCAGGATGTTTGGTGTGGGATGATGGTGTCACAAAAATTCCAAGGCCTCTGGAATGAGCTGGCAGTGACCACCTGGTGATCTCAGTCCACATCAAAGAGACATCATTTGGAACTGTTCTCCTGGCTAAGGATATTTAGGCACTTTAACCCAGCTGAGAATATCCATACCATTCCTGCTGTTCTCTGTTCTGTGAGAGTTGGTCACTGTCTTGACCAACTGATGAGTCTCTTCACCCAAAGCCCCAAGTGAGCTGAGGCCCTAAACTGCCGCCCATAAAGAACTGTCTGTGCAGGAGTGTATGTGCTTGCAGTACCTGGCCCAGCCTATTTCCCCATGTCTGGTTCAAAAGCTCACATCATCTAGCACCATCTCTCTGGTGACTCTGTGGGAATGAGGTGTGAACCCTGGACAGGCCCTACTGGACCTGGGCTTGCAGACACTGCCCCAGTGTGAAGGACTGTGTGGCCACCAGGATTCTCTGTTCTACAGAGTGGCTTCAGAAGGGCTAGCACAACATAACGGGTTTCTTTGTCAATATTTTTCTCTCTTTCTTCTGCTTCTTCTTATATTAAACTCATTTTTCTATTGAAACATAAAAATACTATGAACAGGCAGCCTGGAACGTATTCCTAAATCTGAGCCAAGCTTTCAAACTAGAAGTGCATTTTCACAGTGTGCAAAGGTGACTTGGAACTCTGTGTAGAAAGACAGAGGATACCATCAGAATTCGGGCACATTCAGGGCATCACAGCAGAGAGAAATAAACATCAACATTGCAATCACACCACCTCGTGGGTAGATCCCACCTCACCCCATGGCGACCCTCAGGGTTACCAGCAGTAAACGATGCTGCTTCAAAAGGCCAATCTGGATTTTACTGGAAGTTAATTATAAGCAAATTCCATGTCTCCCCTAGCAGTGTTTTCAGGAAAACACTGTGTCATACTCAAAGGACAGTGTGAGACCTACACAATTTTAGGTTTTTGATAAAACTAATGGACACTCATGCTATCTGAGCCACAGGAATATTGTGAGTATAATTCCCACATTGGCTTGTGCCTCACTTGCATTATTTTCAAAGTGTTGATGTTAATTTGAACCTCGTAAGGTTACAGGAGGGCAATGGTGGACAATTTATAGCATACATGGTAACTGCATTCCTTTGAAGATAAAATACGTCAATACACGAGTTGTTTCTAACCTAAATCTCAGTATTCAGGTTGAATTACAGTGTTGGACCTTTGCAGTAAATAAGCGTGTTCTGGGGTATAGTTTGTTTGATCATCTCTAAAAAGTCGCCATCATTGCACTAGGGCATGTGTTCCATGACAGAAACTTTGTTTTGTTTTCTATTTAACTCATAGTTATATTCTCGGGGCTGAATGACACATAATAGAGGTTGGCTAAATATGTAGTAAAAACCATCAGCAGAACTAAGACATAACCTGCAATGTGGGAAAATTTTTTTACCAGCTGCTCTTCAGACAAAGGACTATTATCTAGAGTATATAAAGAACTCAAAACAAGCACCCCTCCCAAATATTAAGACCCAATTCAAAAATGGGCATCCGAAATGAACAGACATTTCTCAGACAAAAAAGTAAAAGCAGCAAGTAAATATATGAAAAAATGTTCCGCGTCACTGGTCATTTGAGAGATGTGGATGAAAGCAACACTGAGATTCCACCTCACCCCACAAAGAATGGCTGTTATCAAGAAATCACACAATAACAAATGTTGCAGGGGTGGTGGGGAGAAAGGAACTCTTCTCCATTGTTGGTGGGAGTGCAGACTAATGCAACCACTATGGAAACCAATATGGAGATACCTCAAAGAGCTGGGACTAGAGGTTCCATTTCCAAAAAGGGTATCTTTCCAAAAGAATTAAAAGCATCATATCACAATGATGTATGCACACCTATGTTTATAGCGTCACAGATTGTAATAGCTAAAACTTGGAAACGGCCCATTTTCCCATCTGTTCGAAACTGGATAAAGAAGATGTGGTTTTTCTATAAAATGGAATACTATTCACCCATAAAGAATGAGAAAGTAGATTCATTCATAGGAAAGTGGATATATACTCCTAAGTGAAATAAGTAAGTCACATGTGTAAATACTGAATAGTTTCTCCGGTGTGAAAAACTATAATAGTACACAAGATACTAATGAGATAATTAACAATGTGAAATAGGAAGAAACGGGCTAAAGGTGTAGGGAAAGTGGGAAGGGTAGGGGAAAGGGAATAAGGGAAAGGAAAAAAATATGAGAAAATGAATAAATGGAAATAAAGTCTTTGCAAATAGGGATGGTTGGAGGGCACAAAAGGAGGGCAGGGACAAGGGGAAAAAATGAGAACCAAGACCTGTCATGTAAAGGTACAAGATCCCAATAATGAATGTAACTGCACTGTATGCCTAGAATGTACCAATAAACTCAATAAAAAGAAAAAAATTTGCAGTGAAAAAATTGCCTTCTTAATTTGAAAACTCTTCCAACATTTACAACCAAATGGTTGAAATTTAAGAAGAAAATTTGCTATTGATGTTATGATATTAAATATTTTAAAACAAATTGAATGTGGATTGAAAATAAAAGAGCAAAAAAAGATTTCACTGAATCAAACTTTTGAGTATTCAAGTGGCATAAAATATGTATTTATTAATTTGAGTTTTTAAAAGTAATTAAAATTTAAATAGAAAAAAAAATCTTCAAGAATTTCTCATAAAGCATAACCCAGTCTGCTAGGCTGTCATCATCTTTCAGTCACTGCCTAATGTGTGTAAGGAGAGGAGGTGGCCATCTCCCAATCTCCATATTTAAATATCATCACTATTTTCATGTGAGCTGAATATTTGCACTTATTTGTGATACTCTACAAAGATGGCAAATGTTCAAGCTTCTTTGAGGGCAAGATTCAGGGTTGGAGTCTCTCACCCCTGTGCCCAGATCACAGGACAGATGAAAGCTCCATCAGAGGAAAGGGAATGACTGAGTTTTAGGCAGGATCTAAAACAGTGTGCAATTCAGAGACTGCTGGGCCAGAGCCAAAAGCAACATGGAGTCAAGGTGGGATGGGCCAGGAGAAAGAATCTTATTCAAAACAAAAGATTAAAAGGAAGAGGAGAAAGACAGGAGGGAGGAACTCTTGTGATATCACTCCTTCTCATCAGAACTCACCCAGTGAGAAAGGTAGAAAGGATTCCCTTTTCTTAAACTGTCCATTCTCCAGGAAATGCTCTGAGTTGAATGTATCTGGTGTCGCCCACTCTGTGGGGCCCTGTGCAGTGCAGTCAAATTGGTCATGACCATGGTCCCCTAGGAAAGGGAGCAGAGAGTCAGGTGAGGCTTGACCCATGCAACACACTCAGGCACAGGGACAGGGTCCTGGGCTCCCAAGCTGGGGCCTGCTGCTGGCCTCGGCTCTCATAACCTGCCAAGCCCACTGTCCCTTGAGCTCAGTCTCCAGGATCCTACACTTGTTCACAGGTCCACTCTGGACAGACTGTCCTTGCCTGCAGGGAAAGTTCCAGGGAGGTTAAACTACTTTAGAGTGTAGAATGCCTTTCTTCCACAGGCACGTGTCAGTGACCATAGCAATGAAGTCTCTTTTGCTTCTTCTTTCTCTTCCCTGCAGTATCAACTGCTCTCCCCACTCACAGCAGGCTTAGTAGCACTAGCAGGTGGTCGGGGTCAGCAACCGCTGTTCCTCCAGCCACATGGCCAGAAATCCCAGAGGCAGGAGAGTGAGCTTTTCCTTCATGCTGCTCCTCCGACCCACCGGTGAGGCTGGATGGTTTTCCTATCAGTTCATTCTGTGATCTACATTCTCTGCCTATGAGAGGATTCTCTTTGAGGTGATGCCTTGTTCACTCAGGTTCGCATAATGACTCTTAACCATGCCACTGGCACCCCTTTTAGTCTGCTCCATATCCAGAGAGCTGAGGGCACTTTGAATATGACTTCAGCATATCACATCTCCCAAGTACTCACATGGAAAACTCCATAATCTTTAGGGTAAGAATTGCCTTTGGAGAATGAAATTTGGGAATGGAGCAAGTAAGAATGTATGATTTTTAAAATTTAATACCAGATAGATATTTGCATCTTCATTTAAGTACTAAATTTGCTTTCTTTTTTGTTTTTGTTTTTGGTACCAGGGATCGAACTCAGGCCCTTGCACTTGTGAGGCAGGTGCTGAAACCACTGAGCTAACTCTGCCCAGCCAGTTTGCTTTAAAAATATGTATATAAATCCTTAATTAAAAATTCCCCCAAAAGTTATAGAAAATATCATCTTGCATTTCATTTATAAGTACATTGCTTCGTTTTGTGAATAGTCTTGAAGTTAATAAATTAAAACAATTCTACTGTCTCTTTGGGACTTGTGCAACAATCATTTAATAATGTCTAACAGTTCTGGGCTATTAACAATTTACTACGTATTTTTAAGGCATAGTCTTGCAATGTACATAATTTTTTCTTAAAATATTTCAGAAGTTCTGAACTCCTTTTAAAATAATAGCTATTGGGTAGACACAAATTTCTTTTTGTACAGGATAGAGTGACTCATTTTAAAAGTTTTAAAACAAATTTACTTTTCCACATCAGAGAGGTGTTTATTCAGCTGCAGCATGAAAACAAGATGCATCGCTTACAGCAGGAAGGTACTGAGAATGAACGCATCGCAGAGCTACAGGAGCAGCTGGAGCAGAAGCACCGAAAGATGAACGAACTGGAAACTGAGCAAAGGTGACTACTCCTTTCTGTCACTGCAGAATGTGGCGATTTAGTGCCCTAGCCGTGAAATCTTCATCCACAGAGGTGGAAAATACTGCACTAATTAACTAGCATTATCTAGAAGTAGTTTGCAATTATTTTCTCATTAGTAATTTCTCACTACTGTAAGCTTTACTCTGTGACAGCCAAGTGATTCATTTCAAATATATTATAAAGCATGTAGATGATCCGTTAATTTTAACAGACTTGGTTAACAAGGCTGCTTTTTCTTGAATTTCATTTAGATATCTTCACAAATGACAGGAGATTTAACAAGTGAATAAAGGATGGTTTGGTTTCTTTTGTAGTCTGATGCATAGATAGTATATAGATTGCAGAGTCAAATTTAAATCCTACTTTTGCTTCAGCTCACTAATGGTTTGTTTCTGAGCAAGTTATTTAAACTCATTCTCAGTGTCTTCAGCTATAAATATTCCACATCAAGTACTTAAAGTAAATGGTATATTTATTTGTTACCAATGGTATGCTCAAATATTATTACAATAAAATGTACTGTATTCATGTAGTATTTACTGTGTACCAGAGAGTTTTCAAAGTCCTTTTTTGATATTAACTCAGTAAATCTTCACACTGACTCTGTGAAGTAGTGATCAGGATAATTATGGATAAGAAGGCTGAGGCCAGGCGTGGTGGCACACACCTGTAATCCCAGCACTTGGGAGGCTGAGGCAGGAGGATCGCTGTGAGTTCGAGACCAGCCTGAGCTACATAGTGAGTTCCAGGTCAGTCTCAACTACATAGTGAGATTCTGTCTCAAAAAACCAAAAAAAAAAAAAAATAAGGCTGAGATGCAGAGAAGTTAACATACCCATAGTTACACAGCTAGAAAGCACTGAATTTCATATTCAAATGTTCTGTCACCCTGAGACTTTGAGTCTCTACTCTTGCCACAATGCTAACCTGCCTATTATAAATGGCACATTTACTATGAAGGTATTTGCATTTATTTATTCAGCCTTCATCTTCTTTGATCTTACAGGCACACTAGGAATTTTGCAGGCGCTTGAAGCATTTTCCAGAATTTATACGCATACTAGTACATAAATGATACTAAAAGAGGAGTAACATTTTAACTTGTGAAGAGAGAATTAACTGTTGCTATCTTGTTAACACTAGATTTTCTAAATTTATGCTTTTAGAGAATAATATGTTAGATATGAATAAATAATTATCATATTAATGATCATAGCAACAGTGGAGAATTATATCGGGCAGGAATTTGTGTCTTATGTATGGAGAGCTGTGTGTGCCTATGTGTATAAAGGAGGAGAGGTACTAACTCTTGGTTGTAACTTCTTTGTTTTGTTTTGTTTTTTTTTTTTTGGTACTGGGGATCAAACCTGGGTCCTTGCGCTTACAAGGGAGTCCACTGAACCGCTGAGCTAAATCCCCAGCCCTTGGTTGTAACTTCTAATAGTGATAACTTTTAAGAAGAGTTTTAAAGTGTGGGATTTTGTCAAGTTAAATTACAGCCTAGCTGCTGGAGCCAATCTATTTAATTCAAATCTGCAGTCATAAATTCATCATTGGGAAATGGTGTACTGTCTTTCCTCCCAACATTGTGAAATCTGAAACAGAAAAAGGAAACCTAGTTTCCATTCATTGCAACTGTCGGAAAATGGAACTACTTTTCTAATTTTTCTACCAGGGAGTTATAGTGCAGAAATGTTGTTTTTACATGGACATGTATTCCTGTGTCTTGAATTTTAAAATGTGAGTGTGGGGCCGGGAATTTATTTCAGTGGCACCATGCCTGCCTTGCAAGCAAAAGGTCCTGAGTCCGATCCCTGGTACCATAACAAACAAACAAAAAATGTTGAATATATATGTTTTTGGGGGGAAAACATGTCCCTTTTTAAAATATTTCCTTAGGAAATAATCTAAATTCTACATATTATAATTAGTCACAGATATTTGGTATACATTTGTAATTGGAAATCTATAGATGTATGTGTATATATGCCTGTGTGTCTATGTGATTAAATTACATGAACATAGCTTATAGATTTTTAGCTTTGACTTTAAATACAAATAAATACCTATGAGTCATATTAAAATAGGCTCAGCAAAGAGCAAATCCGAGAACTGCAGCAGCAGATTGAAGACCTTCAAAAGTCTTTGCAAGAACTTGGCTCCAAGTCTGAAGGTGAAAGTGTGAGTAACTTAGAACTTATAATAATTTGTCGGGGCCCAGTCATGGCCCACTGGAGTTTGACATTTGGAAAATAACTTCTTCCTGTATAATTAAGGCATCAACATTTGCTACTCTTCAAGGAAACTGTTTGTTAAGCTTGTTTTGACTCTTTGACCCTGACATAACAGGAAACTCATTAACTGAAGATATGATGTTATCTGTAAGAGTCAGGAAATCACCCTGACATAACAGGAAGCTTGTTAGCTGAAGATCTGATGTTATCTGTAAGTGTCAGGAAACCCGGTCTTTGAAAAACAATTACTTGGTGTTTTTTGTTGTTGTGTGCCCTTAAAAGCTTCCTGTTGATGCCAGCCTATAAAAGGAGCTGTTTCTGTGAAATAAAGCAGACTTCTATTCATCTCTGCTCAGGTTTGAGTGTTCTTTCCTTTCTCAATCCTCACTCCCCGACTCAGGCATGTTAGTGTTGTGACGGCTGGACGGCCACAAGTGGCGCCCGAACAGGGACCTGAAGAACAGGGACTTGAAGAACAGGGACCTGAGTATCGAGGGATTCAGTGAAGGACACCGCTGGATAAAGAATAAAAGAAGATCTCGTCAAAAAGAAAGAAGAGAACCTTCAAAAGGAAGGCAAAAGAGGAGCGGTGAGTTTTCTTATAAATATTAAAAATGGGAGCTAGCAATAGTCGCTTGCCTTTTGTATATATGTTTAAAAGTTTATTGAGTGTAGAGGAACCTGAGTATGATAATTGTAAAATTGAAAGTGAAACTATCGTTCCGATGGCTTCACTGGAACCTCTAGGTTTTGAGGTAGAAACTTAAAAATTATGAAAGTGTATGGTCACCTTTAGTGACAGCAGCCCATACTGAGGGTTCACAAAAAATTCAGTTAGAAGACAGGATGGAAAAAATAGAAAAAGTGATGGAAAAATTAGAAAATATGATAGAAAATCTGTCAAAACAAATGGAAGCTCAATGGATTAGTAATATACCCCCTAAAACCAAGCCTAATACAATAGCAGATCTTGATCCTTCTCCTTGTGACAATCCGTTAGAAAAGGAGCCTTCTTTAATTGCTTCGGCTTCAGGACCTCCTGAAGTCTTGAAGCCTGTGAGAGTAAACTCCCAACTCCTTAAATCTCCAGTTCAGCAGGGTTTACAACAAGCCTTTAAAGAAGGTGAGGATGTATCTGCATTTTCTCTGGCCTGCCCAGATTTTGAGGCTCAGGATGCTCAGGAAAACCTTGTTTGACAGCACGCCCCCATCCCTTTTAAACAATTAAAATAATTGAAAATGACTTGTA